TGATTTCATTATATTATTCAAAATAATTTTAGAATAACATAGAGTTTGCTACTCGTTATTTAATACCGAAGATAGAAGCACATTTCCAATATAAAATTAGAATATAAAATCTTAATTTAGTTATAAAATCGGATAATAGTCTCCATATATATTTAAGCCAAATTATCACCTATTTAGAAGAAATCTAATTTTATAAACAATAACAAGTTTATTGATGTGGTAATACCAGTAGTAATTAAATAATATCATTGCAGATTTATTTAAAGAAATATAAAAAAACTTTGTAATCTTTTATTAAGAAAAACCATCTGCATTAGTTTTTTTATTTTTTGATAAATATTAATTTGATAATATTTTATTTTTTTATTAATATTAATTATTCTTTTCATTGCAATAATTTCTTATTTTTTGTTCTTTGCGAAATATTACTCAATTTGATAATCAGTTGCATTTTTTAATAAATGCAACTGATTAGCAAATTGTTTCGATTCTATAGACTTTCTTCGTGATAATCTTATATAGTTTATTCTCTTCCAGCCGTAGTCGTGCGCAGATAATGTCGCGGGCATATCTAAGAAGGCGGAGTTCTCGAGGCTGAACGCCCATTACACGACTTGAATCTTATAAGGCGTAACGAAAACCGATCTCTCGGCGTAACATCGATCTCGATAAAGGTTATTCAATATCGAAGGTGCTAATAATCGGCTATGCGATTATTCGAACCTTTCCGTTCGTATAGATATATCGTAATAATAAATATAAAAGTATCACGAGCAGACTAATTAAATTAAGTTTATTTCAGTCGATCGCGAACACCAAGTAAGATTTATATATATATATATATTTGGCATTATTAATTTATTGATCCTTCTCAATATATAAAAGAATTTCAAATAAATAAAATGTACAAAAATCAACGCTAAGTAAGAGTCATGTGAATTAAACGCTAAATTAAGAAAGTACAATCTGTGACGAGATGTAATATTGTATAAAAACTTTTCTGTCACAAGAAGTATGTTGTGTCCATACATTAAATTCTCTAATTTATTATACATATAATATAATTTAAAAACACATACAATAAATAAAAATACCGATTTAAAAAGTAATAATATTAACTTACATCAAAATATCTTGGACAAATCGTTTTGTAAAATAACATATTGTACGCTTAAACTAACTAATATAACCAATATAAAAGTCATAATAGAACAGAGGCAAATATAAATCCAAAAGACAGCAAAAAGAGGGAAACGTCAAGTCATTGTAAATAAATTTAAATATAATAGGTCAAGGAATTTCGTATCACTTTTAACATTCATTTGTTTTTTTTTTTAATAAAAATCATTTTTAAAGTCAATCTTTTATGTAAAAATTTCTCTTCATCTAATTAACATTCTGCCAATCAAATGCGAAAACTCAAGTCTATGTACAATAATAACTGAATATTGCATCATATTCCAATATGATTGTACATTCTTTTCGTTATTTCAATTTTTCTTGTATATATATTGTATATATATTGAGAAGGAGTCTAAATTGGATCGAAACGTTTCGAATCTATATTATATTAATAAAATTTATTTGCACGCGTTTTTATCTAATATCTGGCTCAAGATAATGATAAGATCACTATAAGATTCATTAATATATATAATTCAACTACTCGTTTAACTATTGTTTTATTATTTAGCAAACATTCACTTTCCACTCATAAATGTTATATTAATATTATTTAAACAATTATTTATTAAAATTTAGTACATCTCTCTCTCTCTCTCTCTCTCTCTCTCTCTCTCTCTCTCTCTCTCTCTCTGTGTTTACCTTAAACTAAAATATTTTCGGTAATTGTGCAATGAATGACTGAATAAAATGCATTAATCAGCTTCATATTTAATGGAGACACATTCACGTTGAACAAAACATAGCGTTTCTAACGCGCTCGCACTCGAGACAATGGGATGATAATTTATTCCATACATGTAAATTTTTTCACATGCAAGCCCCTGTACAATCCATCATGCTTCGTCAAATTGGTACAAGCAATACAAGCACCTTGCGCTGCGGTGGTAACGTATATGCTGCCTCCTTTCATCTATTCTCTTCTTTTCTTTTCATTTCAAACTACCAACCTCGCACGCGAATATCGCGATTGGCACGAAATTCGTTTTGTGAATATATAATGATTTTTCATGTAAATATTAATGTAGCTTACGTTATAAGCGCCACAAACTTTTTTACGATAAATTTTATAATAATTCAAAGCCGATTTCTCTTCATATAAAAAATAACAAGAAAAATCAATAATCAAATTATCAAATTATATTAATCAAAATTCTCTGACTCAACATTTAAAAATAAATATTTTTATTGTTAACTTCAAATATTAACTTCTAAATGAAATTCATATTAAAATAAAACTTCAATATTGATCGAAGAAAGACTTTATTTATTAGATTCATCACGAAAGAATTAAATAATACAAAGCCGAATATGTTAAATCAAGTAAATTAATATGTAAAAACATATATATCATAATTGCAATGAAAATTAGTTGATTTTTCCGAATTCTTATAAATGTGTGAATTTTAGATTTGCATTGTAATTCATATCAACTATTTTAAATTTCTAGTTTTACAATTGATTTCAAGTTATCAACTTGCCATTTCTATTTCAGTGCACGAAGCATTCACATAGTTCTCTTGCTTTATGTTATGTCGGACCACCATTTTCTCCCATCAAACCCTACGGAATAAGGATGATGGAAGAATTTCTTATGTATTAGTCTAGTAACTCATTAATCATACACGCCATACGCCGAATATCTCGATTGATCGACGACGAGATAACCGCGTAATGAGCTCTGCTGCTCTTCTTGGTCCATTCTCTATTCAAAAAGTTATTACTGCACCGTCCGATTAATTCATTTCGTCGTCGTAAACGAAGGAATACCAATCAAAAAATTAATACTAACACAAGAGAGCGTATACTAGTTCTCTTATGCTAGTATTAATTTTTTAATATTTTTAAATATTTTTTAATATTATTTTGAAAAGCGGATAAACTATATATACAGATTGTATTACGGCTAAAAGAAATAAAAAAAAGACGTACTACAATTATAGTATGTAAACAAATTCTTACC